AGCACCAAGCATTTCCCCTCAGACTATTCCAAAGGAATAAGAGATCCTCTAGACTAGGCAAACATGTAGGATAAGGAAAGTGGAGAAAACTGTAGTCCTGCACACTTCACCCAACAGGAAGCCTCTGCTGGATCCTGCATCCCTCCCAAAAATGGCAGGAGTTCTTTTATTCCTGGAGGGACAAGCCTCCAGCCCATGGAATTTTAGAGCTGGAAAGTTTTCTTAGAGGTCTTCTAGTCCAACCTCCTGCTCAGGGCATGGTTGCACCACGACAGCATCTCCTGCTGATGGTAACCCAGCTACTGTTGAAATACCTTTAGTGGAAGAGAGGCTGTTGGACACTAAGGAAAACCCATTCCTCTGTAGATCCCACCCTGAGCCAATCTTCAGAACATACTTTGTTGGATATCACTTACAATCCATATGGTTATCCAACTGAGTAACTATTTTCACCCCAGTCAACTTCATGGGGATTAGATGTCTGGTTTCCTGAGGCCTGGTTCAGTGCTCTAACCACTATATCACACTGTCTGGCTTTCATCAGTAAGAAATAAGGAAAAGTCTGCAGATAGTGTTCTGTCTACTGTACAGAATGTACTACTTACTGTCTTTCCCAAGGATTTCATGGTGTAGTTGTTTGAGCATTGGAATGCAACCCTAGAGACCAGGGATTGATGCCCCACTCAGCCACAGAAACCATTGGGCCTCTCAGCCCCAGAAAATCCCATGATAGGTTTCCTTGGGGTCACCATAAGTTAGAAACGACTTGAAGACACACAACAGGAACAACTAACAGTTAAGCAGCAGCACCACTGGTTGACTAGAAACAAAATAAATCATGACAGAGCAGTTCAGTCTATTTTCCCCATCTAGCCCTGACTGGTATCAGCTCTGGGCCTCAGGCAAGCATCTGAACCGTCACTTGCTACCTGCATCCGAAAGTATGCCAGGACTGAGCCCAGGCCATTCTGCTCATAAAGCACATTACTGGACAAGTTCCACAGAGATAGTTGTTGTTCTGTACAGATTCCCATGCAACATTACACCATCTTGTGATGTTGCTGTACTTTAATCTGTTCTTCCCTGCCTCAATCCATAGGGAGAGGAGGGTCATTATTTATTTATACTTATATAAATATTTATTTATTTCACTTCTATGCCACCTTTCTTTCAAAAAAGGGAACCAAGATGGCTCACAAGATAAAACATTAAAACCTCATAATGAAAATTTAAGAACAACAACAACAACTGATTTATTATTATTATTATTATTATTATTATTATTATTATTATTATTATTATTATTCACCTGGTGTAGGACTAGGACCCTGGAGAATAGGGTTTGCTTCCTGGCTTGGCTGGGTGACATTGGGTGAATCGCATCCTCTCCACTCTAGAAAACCCTGTGACAGATCCACCTTAGGGATGTGAAGTCAGAAATTGGAAATGACTTGAAGGCGGAATAGCAACAACGAGAGCCAGTGTGACATTGTGGTTTGAGCATTGGACTAAAACTCTGCAGACCAGGGAGCTTGGTCATGAAACCCACTGGGTGAACTTGAGCAATTCACATGCCCTCAGTCTCAGGGAAAGGCAATAGCAAGCCTCCTCTGAACAAATATTGCCAAGAAAGCCCTATTATAGGCCTTAGGGTCATCCTAAGTCAGAAACGACTTGAAGGCACACAACAACAACAACAACAGGATGGAGAAGCTTAAGGCCAGTGGGTTCTTAGGCTTGGTACCTGTTTTGAGCTTAGTGGAAAAACACAGACTTAGAATCCAATCATTCCTGGTTTACAGAAACACTAGAACTGAATCATCCTCGCAGTACTTCTACACACAAAACCCACTCCCTGGTTGAGCTTTCTTCCTTACAGCAGTATTCATGAGGTTGCCATAGGCCAACAGATGACACACACACACACACACACACACACAATTTATAGGGTGGAGAGGAGACATTTTGTTGCTCTTGTTAAATAATTAGGAGTAAAATAGAATCTTTGCCAATATAATACTTACTCTACCAGCAGACCCAGATTGCCATCCTGCCCAGGCCTGTTATACCTACATCTCTCATTCCTGGCCAGTATATAGGACACTGACAATGCAGCCTAGTGGTGGGAGTCTGATGCGCCTCTAAGGAGCAGGGAAGCCCTCACCCCCCCCCCCCCAACCCTCCAATCCCACAGATCCAGGATGACCAGATGCCCTCATTTTCCTCCACATATCCTACATTGCAACCTTCTGTCCAGGAAGAATTCCAAAATATCCTCCATTTTGAGCATGACTAAGAAACCTATTGAGCAATATCACACTTGCTGTCCCCCTTCAAGAAATGTGTCATCTACTTGGCAGCCTGTCCTTGCTGCAAATAAGGGGATGGGATGGATTCTTCTAAAGTTCTTTTTTCCTAGGAGCAGCAGCAGATAAGACTTGCACCCAGAACTCAGGGCACATTTGTTTCTCAGAGGGGAAAGGACAGCAAATGTTAGGCAATGGGCTGATTGAGAACACAATGTGAATATAGAAAGGGGTTTTCCTCCTTCATTTCAGCACAACAGCAAATGACAGGAATGTTTAAATGTACATTCAGTCAAGGGTGTGTTGCTAGCAAAGTACCATTTTAAGCCTTTGTCTTGCTCACAGTTCTATACTGCAAGCCAACAAGGCATTTGGTTGAACCATCGGAAAAATAGTCAAGTACCGAATAAAATACTGTACAGTACATGTAATATAGCTGTAAATAAAGTATGGATTACCAACTCTGGATTACCAGGGTTTGATTCCCAGCTGAGCCATGGAAACCCACTGGGTGACCTTGGGGGCAAGTCACACTCTCTCAGCCTCAGGGGAAGGCAAGGGCAAACTTCCTCTGAAGTAACCTTGCCAAAAAAACCACAAAACTCCCAGGATAGGTTCTCCTTTGGGTTGCCATAAGTCAAAAAAGATTTTGGAGGTACCTAACAACAACAACAAACCACCATATCAAATGAATTTGTATTTATATAGTGTTCTTGTTGTTGTTGTTATCTGCCCTCAAGTCGATTTCGACTCATGGCGACCATGTGGATGAGAAACTTCCAAGAGCCCCCTCTTCCACTTCTCTACTTAGTTCCTGCAAACTTTGGTTCAAAACACACTGCAGAAATAATCCAGCTTGAAACCGCTTTAACTGCCCTGGCTCAGTGCTAGGGAATCCGGGGAACTGTAGTTTATTGTGGCACCAGAGCAACACTGACAGAGAAGGCTAAATGTCTTACAAACCTACAAATCCCAGAATTCTCTAGCACTGAGCCAGGGCAGTTAAAGCAATCTGAAACTGGATTATTTCTGCAGTGTGCTTTGGACCTTTGACTTTTGGGATGTCCCCCATTCTCTTTGGATGTCCTCCATTTTGTGGTGTGGACCTGTGGTCAACCTGCCCAGACCTCCAAGCAAGCCAGCCAGCCAACCTCTTGGTCAGATCTTAGGGTAGAGTTAAACTGATGGGGAGGAAGCAGTCCTTATGAACCTATTTATCTGCCTCCTCTCTTTTGTTGTCACCATGTTGCACACTTTTAGAAAGCTAAAAAGCCACTTGGTTCTGCTTATGAGGCTGTGAGTCAGTGGTGAAGCATATGCTTTTCATGCAAAGTTCCAGACTTGGGCTAAGAAAGACTTCAGCTTGAAATCCTGGAAAACATTTTGTTATTAATGGAGAGTGGGGAAGATAAAAGGTGGGCCTGCAAGCCCTTTCTGTGTGACCTACTTCTTTTTAAAAATAATTGGCATTCTGGTTTGCCATTGAAATTGGGCAGCAGATGGCTAAATGGGCTTTAGTCAGAGAAAAAAAAGACTATATATGTGCTATAGCGGCACAAGACAATTCTTGTGCCAGCAGTCCTTTGCAAAGTGATAAGGACTGGGTTTTTAACATTGTACGATATACATTTTAATGGTTTGTATTTTACTGTTTTAATATGTTATATTTTAATTTATAACTGTTTTAGTCTTAAAATTATATAAAATTATATAAAATTATATAAAATTATATATATATAATTTAAAATTTAAAAAACAATTTTAAGAATAAAAGTTATAAATTTGATTCATGTTTTTTAAATTTTAAATTTTATATATATATATATATAATAAATTTAACATTTAAAAAACATGAATCAAATCCACAAAAGAGGGACGAACATGTGTGTGTGTGTGTGTGTGTCCCTCTTTTGTGGATTTGATTATTCATGGATTTTATTAATATGCCCTCTCTAGGAATATCTAGGTCCTCCTGGGCAACTCTATGGTCAACTTTAACCAAATGTTGCACTAAAAGATGTAGAGATTCCTAGAGAGAACACTCCCCTAGGCCTTTGTAGATCCTCCAGCGCAACTCTATGGTCAATGTCTGGCAGATGTTGACCACAGAGTTGCCCTGGAGGACCCAGAGATTCCTAGAGAGGCATTCGCTGAGGTAAAAACATTGTTTTTGTGATTTGCAGTTTTTCCACATTCATGGGGGCCCTGTGCCCCTAACCCCAGCGGATGTGGAGGGACGAGTGTATATATTTTAATTTATAACTGTTTTAACTCTTAAAATTGTTTCGATTGCTTATTAAATGTTGTATTTATATATATTTCATATTGTTGTACTGTTTTTAAATGGTATTGTTTTATACTTGTTGCGCGTCACCCACTGCCTTGAGTCCCTATATTGGGAGAAAGGCGGGATATAAGAAAACAAAACAAAACAAGAATAAATAATACACTTTATGAGACTGTCAACATCGATTTAGGCCAGGGGTAGGCAACCTTTCCCCTTTAAGGGCCGAGGGACTTCAGCTCCCAGAAGCCTCAGCCATGTTGGCCAATAGTCCCATGTTGGCCAATAGCTCCTGGGATTCTGGGAACTGAAGTCCCTCGGCCCTTAAAGGGGAAAGGTACCCCTGGTATTAATGATAAACTGAAGGTGGATGTAGGGATAAATACTTGTTTATAATAACTAAAGGAGCAAGCGTAGTGGTGTAGTGGTTGGAGCTCTCGACTATGACTCCGGAGAACAGGATTCGAATCCCCGCTTGGCCATGGAAACACTCTCTCAGCCTCAGACCGGAGCCCAGCCCAGGAGCCGTCTTGCGGGAGGGAGGGAGGGACGGAGCGGGGCTCTTCTGGCTCACCTGTAAGGCACCGGCCACCGGGGAGACTGCGGGGAGGGCGCCGTCCAGCAGGCCCTGTAGCCTCTGGGCTGGAGGACCAGCAGCAGGAGCCAGCAAATGGCGGCGGGCAGCACCCCTCCGGCCGCCATCTTGGTGCCAGGATTGTTCTGTCGCTCGGGCTTCAGCGGAGGAGAGGCCCAGCCAGCGCGCATGCGCCCTCCATCCGTCTTTAGGCAGAAAGAAGTCGTTAACGTTGCTGTTCCACTTTAACTGCTCCTATTGCATTCCGGGACTTGTAGTTTAGGAAGGATCATTTGGACTATTCAGCCAGGGAGCTCTTTAGGCCTCACTGAACTGCAAACCCCAAAATGCAACAGGAGGCAGTCAAAGCAGTTAAAGTGGAATAGCAACGCTTTAAGAGTGCGGTTGTAAAATAATCTAGTAGGAGTCGTCATCCTCACCCAAACCACGACTCTGTCTCCCTCCTTTTTCCATGCAGAGCGACAAGGAGGGCGCTTCTTGCCGTTGGGTCGGTACCTTCAAGTCATTTTTCACGGGGTTCTCTTGGCAAGTTTCTTCAGAGGGGGTTTGCCAAGGCCCTGAGGCCCTCAAGCCCTGAGGCTGAGAGAGCGTGACTTGCCCTAGCTTCACCTTGCTGTTTATTTAACCCGAGTTAAACATTATTAGGCCAGAGTAGTGTAGGGGTTTGAATGTTGGACGATGAGTCTGAAGTTCAGGGTTTGAGTCCCAGCTCAGCCATGGAAACCCACTGGGTCACCTTGAGCGAGTCACACTCTCTCAGCCTCAGAGGATGGCCATGGCAAACTCCCCTCTGAAGAAGCTTGCCAAGAAAATTCCTTGATAGGGTCGCCTAAGAGCCTGAACAGACTGACAGAAACAATGCAGCTTGAGACCGCTTTAACTGTCCTGGCTCAGTGCTAGGGAATCATGGGAACTGTAGTTTATTGTGGCACCAGAGCTCTCTGACAGACCAGGCTCAGTGTCTCAGAAAAAAATACAGTTCCCATGATTCCTTAGCACTGAGCCAGGGTAGGGGGGTTGCAGACTGTCAAAAATAGTGTGAATTCAGTCCACTTTTAGGGTTAGGGTTAGTGCTAGGGAATCATGGGAATTGTTATTTTTCTGAGACATTGAACCTTCTTTGTCAGAGAACTTTAGTGCCACAATAAAATTCAGTTCCCATGATTCCCTAACCTTAACCCTAACCCTAAAAGTGGACTGAATTCACACTATTTTTGACAGTCTGCAACCCCCCGTAGTTAAAGTGGACTCAAGCTGCATTATTTCTGGCAGTCTGTAAAAGCCCGTTGTTGTTGTGTGCCTTCAAGTCGTTTCCAACTTACGGTGAGCCTATAGTGTCTTCTTGGCAAGATTTCTTCCAAGGAGGTTTGCCTTTGCCTCCCTCTGAGGCTGAGAGAGTGTGACTTGCCCAAGGGCACCCAATGGCTTTTCATGACCGAGCTGGGACTCAAAGCCTGGTCTCCAGAGCCATATATAGTCCAACACTGAAAAGCCTATACCACGCTGGCTCACACTCTTTGTGCAGAGAAAGAAAGCTACAAAGACCTTAAAAAAACTACCAATCCCAATAGGTCTGTGAAGAAATAAATTATAGTAATAGATAGGATAGATGTGTTTAGAATACAAATATATATATATAGAGAGAGAGAGAGAGAGAGTATATGGAAAAACAGGAATGAAAATCTGGAAATAACGTTTGATCATGAAAGACAAGAGATAAAACTCAGTGACAAATATGTAAAGCTTAGCCAAGCCCTTAGAGTAGACCACAGGAAAGGAATGAATTTGAATGTAGTGCGAATATGTTTGGTACAGAGATCCAAAACCCACTGCAGAAATAACCCAGCTTGATACCACTTTGACTGCCCCGGCTCAATGCTAGGGAATTCTGGGAACTGTAGTTCTGCGAGACATTCTGCCTTCTCTATCAGAGAGCTCTGATGGCAGAGTAAACTATAATTCCCATGATTCCCTAGGACTGAGCCAGGTCAGTTAAAGTAGTCTCACGCTGGGTTATTTCTGCAGTCTATTTTGGCTCTAATTGAAATAAAGAAGTTGGCAGCATGAGCTTTCCTAAACTACTTCCTCAGAATGCATATAGAGGCATATACGTTTGGGAGTTATCTGAATAGAAGGAGGCAGTGTTTTCTTTGAATTGATTGTAATGTAAGGA